TATATTCTCAGTTGGTGATATCAATATACATATATTTTATTGTTCTATATTACATTCTCAGTTGGTGATATCAATATACGTATATTTTATTGTTCTGTATTATATTCTCAGTTGGTGATATCAATATACGTATATTTTATTGTTCTGTATCATATTCTCAGTTGGTGATATCAATATACGTATATTTTATTGTTCTATATTATATTCTCAGTTGGTGAAATCAATATACATATATTTTATTGTTCTATATTATATTCTCAGTTGGTGATATCAATATACGTATATTTTATTGTTCTATATTATATTCTCAGTTGGTGATATCAATATACGTATATTTTATTGTTCTGTATTATATTCTCAGTTGGTGATATCAATATACGTATATTTTATTGTTCTATATTACATTCTCAGTTGGTGAAATCAATATACGTATATTTTATTGTTCTATATTATATTCTCAGTTGGTGATATCAATATACATATATTTTATTGTTCTATATTACATTCTCAGTTGGTGATATCAATATACGTATATTTTATTGTTCTATATTATATTCTCAGTTGGTGAAATCAATATACGTATATTTTATTGTTCTGTATTATATTCTCAGTTGGTGATATCAATATACGTATATTTTATTGTTCTATATTATATTCTCAGTTGGTGATATCAATATACGTATATTTTATTGTTCTATATTATATTCTCAGTTGGTGATATCAATATACGTATATTTTATTGTTCTGTATCATATTCTGAGTTGGTGATATCAATATACGTATATTTTATTGTTCTATATTACATTCTCAGCTACTGATGCTATTGTTTCATTATGTCAATATTGTTTTATATATTACTTATTATATTACATTTTATTATATTTCAGTTGGTGATGTCAAGTGATAAATACTCCTCTATTCATCAACCATTATTAAATTTAGATCTTCAAACAGTCACTAGTAACAATGATAATCAAACAGTGTCATTAGAATTAAATAAAGAAGATTTAAAGAAACTAATATCTAGTTTAGATGGTGCTAGTAAGGTAAGAGCTATATATTTCATGAAATGATATTTTTGAGAATTGAGTAATAGTTCAAACTAAAGTTATTTTTATAAAAAAAATTCTGCGCCCAATGACCGTATGAAACCTCGTATAACGAATATGACGCGGAATTACTTTTCGAGAAAAACACAAAAAACTATTTGTACGCTTATTTTGTTAAAATCTTTTTTATTATTTTTTTTTACCGCTATACATGGTTTTCATTCTTTGAAAATATAAACCTTGTATAACAATTTGAAATCTTCGGCCTATTTAACCAAAAACTCAAGTATACGAGGTTTATCATTTTCATCTGCAGAAATGGAACATTGAACCACGTATAATAATATATTTTACGAGGTTTTAAATCTTACTGTTTATATACGTGTTATTTAATTAGTGCTTTTTGAGTTATTTACAATCAAGCTAAGAATATGAGGTTTTGATCACAAGATCCGCGTTTTTAAGAGCTTTCGAACGATACCAAATAGTCATAATGACTAAATATGGCATATACGAGGTTTCAAGTGGTCACCCACGATATGTAGTTTGGTATTTCAAGTTTGTTTTTTTTCGATTTGGATTGTTAGTAGTTATTTTTATTTTTACTGAAAGCAAAATCATTCATGTCAGTTTTAAATAATGGAAAATACTTATTTTACACTATTAAAGATGTGGTTGTGTATACATTCAATGTCTTACTACTTTAATAAGGTAATAATATTTTTTTTTTCAGGCTGTACAACAGTTGACAACATAGTGTCTCCCACGTAGGATGGGGAAGATTTGTGTTATATTTTTTCTTTAATATATTCAATGGACCAATTTTCTCTTACCTTAATGCAATTGTTGCATCATGGATTTAGCACATAGAATGGAATGCTGCCATATATTTTGTTTCATTGCACTTAATGAAAACTTGTGACAAGGCTGGTGAAAACTGGAATGAAGCAGCTTTCAGATTGTGATTAATTTTCTTCTTCTTGATAGGGGGACAAAAAAAAATTATGTGGTGTGGTTTCTGTATGAATATCAGTATTTCAATTGGATAAGAATTTAAAATTGAGGATAAAAAGTATAAATGAAGATGTGATGTAATTTCTGCATGTAAAAAGTAATGTGGTCATCCAAATAATTGCTTTAACATTTGAAAAATCTTAATTTCAACTGTCTGGTTTAAAATTTAAATTTTGCAACTTGACACATTGGCCGAAGTGACAACAGTCTAAGCTATTTAATTGTAGATGAACTAGACTTTTATTTTGATTTCTTCTCTGAAAACTTCTATGAAACAATGCAATTAAGTTCTGTACAAAGCAAAATATCTATTTACATATACATGTTATTGTGTATCTATATCACTCTACAGGACTAAAATTTATGTATTGAGCACTATATTTGACAGCGGAAATTTTTTGTTATTTTTTTGTATAAATATGACAATAAATGGTAATTATGTAACAATTGTTATTATTGGTGTCATTTAGATATGTTTCAATCTTAGTGTGGGTGTAGTTTTCACACTCATCTGTGCTCACTCCACAAGTTACATCTTGAATAATTTACAATAGCTATTGAATACCATTTTGGACATATGATGTGTACATTAGAAAGGTATAAGTTTCCTCATATTTTATACTTGTTAATTTCGCTTACTTACCCTATACTGTTTAGTTGACCCCCATTTCTATGGAATTTATATGCTTACAATGTATCAGCAGTCATCTTCACAATGTCAAGCTATTTGAAAACTGTGTCTTATAAGACGTAATCACTTGAAATTGTGAAGATGCTGAAGAGTAGAAAAGCTCTACTATCTATGAGGTTGGGACTCCAACCTTTAGCACATTGTAGCAACAAATACTCTACATGTTAACATGACGAGTGTTCCCATTCAAATGCCATTTAAAACCCTTTCCACCTAGGATTGGGTTAAAATTAGAAGCATTTAATGGAATATTGCTGAAATTCAACTTTTTTACACTTTATTTCAGTTTCAGTAATATAACAAAATTTAGATTATTTTTATTATATCATCTCACACAAGAGATGTGTTAAATGTACATTAGCATAAATAAATCAGTTTTCACTTTCTTGTCTTCATTGTTTTACTCAGTTCTTGTTTCTTGTTTCATATCTATCTAATATATTTTGTCCTTCACCTATTTCTTATAGCTCTTTCGTGACATTGCATCTCTCTGCATCTCAATCAAATCGATTGTAAGGTAAATTGCTAATGGAACTGAAATAGAAGAAAATATGATCAAGCCAGTAAGCAAGAGTTTTTCTTCAACTTATTTGCTCTTAATGGGCTAATGAAGATGGACAACTCCTTGTTACATGTATACATTTGTTTGTTCCAGTTAAATCTTTGTCAAAATACTTGCAACATACACATCCTGCATCAAGAAGCAAGCAACTAAGCTGCTGTATAAAACCAGATATATTAGTATTAAAAGGGCATCAGAAGGTGAAATTTGAATTCAATTGGATATTGAAATGAAATGGTATTTTACAACCTACTTGTTTGCTACTATGTATTCCTTTTCTAGGTGAAACAAACAAATATTGTTTATATAAAACATATTAAAAGAATATCAAATTAGGGATTGTAACTCACTTGAAATCGCCCAACTTTTTCTGAGTATTCTATCAAATGTTCTTGGTATACCAGCAGATATAAATCCAGCAAAAGCTTTCTGTTCCAAAGGTGATAGACTGTACTGATAGACACCACGCATTCTAGCTAAGGCTCCCCATTTCATCCCCATTTTGTACTGAAAACAAAAACATTTTCTTTTTAAAGCTTACATAATAAGTTTAACACTCCGGGTGCAACCTGGGGGTCTCAGCAGACTGTATCTGATGTGGCATATCCTATTCTTTGTTAGTAAATACTAATAGGGCCTGGTGTAAATAGGCACCTTGTCGCTGAGTGCAACCTAGGGCCAGGCCCAGTGCTTTGCAATAACAGTTTTGTAAATTCTATCTTTTCATATAGAGTGGGTCATTCTCAAAATATCACCTACCGCATTATATACTTAGATAGTATCCTTTTCTGAATCATAATAATATATTGTTGCCGTTGGCAAATCACAGACACATATTTTTATAACGCAACTTACAATTTACGGAGTAATAATAACCCTTCTACAATATATGCTATCGAATATAATTATGATCAGTACAAAACAAAATAAAGTATCAAGGGCAAGAAAAAAGGTCATAATTCATACTTACCAAGTTACTTTCTCCTCGAAGGACAAATTGGTACTGGTTGTTGTTTCCAAATGACACGATTGACCTTAATGACCTTAATCGAAATGTGCTAAAACAAAATGGTTTCGTACTAAATAAAGGAATATAAAATACAGATGTTTGATTTGAATACAAATTATGTCTACACATTTTACTTTACATGATCTTTTTGCAGTTTGCTACCAGTTCTTTCATGTTTTTCTTCGAAACTGAAGTTGAAATTTGGCAGCCAAGTAAGTCAATTATGAAGGTGAAGGTTAAATCAAAGGTGAAGGCCATGCTAAATGTCCTCAACAAAAATAAATAAATGAACTTGAGTCGATTTTGACAATGCAGTTGTGTTTATATGATTGAAAGGACATTGCATGCTATTGAGCATTAGTTTAGCGAATCAGATAGTGCCATTCGTGTTATAGTAAGTGTAACAGAATTAAACCTAGAGGGCTATATTATTCTTCTGCACTGACTGCAGTCGCAGTGCTCTTTACTTTGACACTTCTTACACTTACACAGTCACTACTGTTACTGTCAAGTGTAAGTGAACCGGACTGCAGAAAAAGTTACACCTGTTTCTAAGTTATACTGACCTTTCAGTGCTTGCATGCTCCTCACAATTCCCAATTATGTGGTAAAATAACTAAGTAATAGGCCTAGACAAAATTGAAATTTGATCTATTTTATTACAAAATAGTCCTATTATTATACATTAAAAAACTTTCACAGGCCTAGTAAGTAAGGTCTTCATCATTTTCCCTAAGCAATAGCAAATTCAATGGTTCAGTTCAGTGTTGGCAATTTGAGCCTTACATTTGATCTGGTTAGACTTGATTTTCCGAAAGCTTGTAAAAAAGATCTTGAATGATCTGAACTATAATGTCGATGCAAAGTGACATTACACTTATGTTTGTAATTCAGTATGTTTTATTTAAGTAAATTAGTAAAATTCTGAATTCTAAACTCAACAGCCCAGCCCTTTGTTATTTTGGTATTTGGCTACTTGTATGCATAATGACAATTTTGTTAATATTATATGTGACTAACTTGGATGTATTTGGTTACTAATCTCATTCCATTTTTTTCAGCTGCCATAGAAAACAGGAATGAGGAATCGAAGTAATTCAGGTATCCGTTTGGATTATTACCAAAGATTAGTGTATAGAAGTATATTGAAATACCAGGTAGGTCTGAAGTATGATTTAAAATCTAGGTACCAGTACCGGTAGTTTAAACTTGTGTTAGTTCATAGTTGTTAAAGAGAAATTTTTTGTGTGACATATTTTTTGAGTCAGAAATGATTTAAGAGGAATTTAAAAACCTTTAATTATGAAGTTGAATTTTCTAAACATGCCAAATAGAGCAACTTACTGTTTCTTAATAACCATGTATTGTTTGATTGTGTATTATTTACTTAATAGAATCCTGCTACAGGGTTAATATCTAGTGAAAACAGTACACATGCCTGGGTTAGAGACAATGTTTATGCTATTATTGCTGTATGGGGTTTGGCTATGGCCTACAGGAAGACAGCGGATTTAGATGAAGATCGAGCTAAAGCTTATGAACTGGAACAGGTGAGATATTATAAAGGGTTTTTGAGTTTGTGTCACTTTTAAAGTTTTATGCCGCCTGTCTACAGAATGAAGATTCAACATCTGATTTGATAACATACGGTCTTAGGTTTATGTCTTGTAAAATGAATATTTTGATGAACACTGTGGGAATATCAAATTGTTATTGAAATTGAGTATTATATAGACACAATCTGGGCTATTGTATCTGAAAGACTTAACCTTAATACTATTTTCAGGCAATTGTAAAGGCTATGAGAGGATTACTGAAAAGTATGATGGCACAAGTAGATAAATTAGAGAAATTTAAAAAGACTCAGAGTCCCCGAGATTCTCTTCATGCTAAATATTGTAGTCGTACTGGTAAGACGGTAGTTGGTGATTATGAATGGGGTCATCTACAGATTGATGCTACATCATTGTATCTGTTGACATTAGCTCAAATGACAGCTGCTGGTAAGATTATTATTTTTCTTTGTTTTTCTTATGAAATATCAGTCTAAGATAATGTCAATTTTACATTCATCACAAATTTACCTCTTTGAATGGTTTTCAGCCTAATTTTGTTACCCTTGGGAAACTTTTAATTTTCTGGTATATCATTTAAAGGTTTTAACAAATAAAAACCATACATATTTTACTTTTCTGCTGACAACCAGACATATTTTCTTGTTCAAAGTATTTGGTCCAGGAACAAACTGAAATTTCATTGATCAATTCCTTCCATTTTCAGGTTTAGAAATAATATATACATTAGATGAAGTAGCTTTCATACAGAACCTGGTATTTTATATAGAAACAGCCTATAGAACTCCAGTAAGTATATAACCTCCAGCTTAATCATTCAAATTCGTTTTGGTGCTATTTGCATTTTTTTTAAACTAATCATGTTGCAGAATTTTGCATATTCCATTCAGCACATATTTAGTCATTTTAGTTTATTTGCACATTTCTATCAGTAGATTGCTACATAACTTACAAGGACTAATTTATCAAATGACTTAGTTATTACCTAGTAAACATGTTGGTTTGACCTGTTCATTGAGTAAACTATATTTGTAGGATTATGGTATTTGGGAACGAGGTGATAAAACTAATCATGGCTTACCAGAATTAAATTCAAGTTCTATTGGAATGGCAAAGGTAACTATGATCAGTATTCATTATACAGAGAGATAAGTACAAGTCTAATTTACTGATACTGGAATAGTTGTAACTCCACACCATTGAAGAACAATACAATTTCAATTTTTAGCCATTGTATGTGAAATTGTCTCCCTTTCTTGATAAGTTAATTAGTGTTTTAGTTAAGACCTATAAAATATAATATCTATTACAGGCAGCACTAGATGCTATAAATGAATTAGATTTATTTGGTGCTAGAGGTGGAATGGCATCAGTAATACATGTGTTACCTGATGAAGCTCAGCAATGTCAGGCTATATTAGACTCCATGTTACCTCGAGAGTCTTCTTCTAAAGAAATAGATTCAGCTTTATTAACTGTTATTAGCTACCCAGCATTCGCTGTAGATGATGTTGAACTAATAGAGGAAACTAGAAGAACTATTAAAGAAAAACTTGAGGTAAGTATGGTAAACTCCTGTTCATTGAGTTCACTTATTTTGCTTACATGTCTTATAGTATATAGATGATAGATATTGAACTCCTCAGTTCCTTGCCAGTTGTTTTTATTTTATATCTTATACAAAGTTGAGTATTGACAGTGTTAAGGTGTTTGTAAAAGATGGGCTCTTACGGGAGGCTTATTCTCAAATATTGACAGAGAAAAAATCTAGATTAATCTGCTTAATCAAACTTGATTAGAAATCGAATTTCAATGATAGACCAATCAGATGACCTAAAGTAAGAGTTAAACTGTTCAAGGGTCTTGTTTCTCAAAATATCTTACGATAATTTTTGTCATTACTGTGCTAGTTCTCAATGTAAAATTCCACACAAAGTTTTATTGTATGATTCTTTGAGAAAGAGACCCAGGATAGTTTAAAATGAGCTTTTCTTGATATTATTTTTGTCTTCCAGGGTAAATATGGCTGTTCACGTTTTTTACGAGATGGATATAAAACAGCGAAAGAAGATCCTAGAAGATTACACTATGAACCCTGGGAGTTATTGGTCTTTGAGAAAATAGAATGTCAATGGCCATTGTTTTTCACCTATTTTATATTGGATGGTTTGTTTAATAATGATAAAGAAATGGTAAGACAAATAGTTTTGTGTTCCAACCAAGTGACATAGTCATCTTAATATTGGTAGCAAGCTTCGAATTCTAAACATTTGGCGCTTCAACAGTAGAAAGTCAATATTTTCAGTTATTTAAATAGTGTTATGGGTAGCTGAACTCGTGTCAGCTGGTAAAACAAACATACAGTAACGACTGTATCACTTTTATTGATGTCTCCAGTGTATTTGACTGAAAGTTCTATTAATTTGGTATGGGATACTAAGATATTTATGGTTGAAAGTTTAGCTATTATTGCTAACCAAGAATCATAGGTTAGTACATTGTGTTACTTGTCTTCATGTCCTTTATATAGTGTAGATAGAGTAGATTATAAAACTTTTATTTATAGGTTGAATATTACCGTAGTAAATTAGATGAATTAATAGTTAAAACTGATGATGGTGTACCAATGATTCCAGAACTATATTATGTTCCTGCTGATAAGGTCATTTTTTTCTTCCTGGAGAACTCTCCATCAAAATTCTTCTAAATCACTAACTTTATAACACTAACACTATTTATTGCTCAAATATTTCTTTTGAAAGATTTATTACCGTGGTTTTTAAGATGAATGAAATGTATAATGGTATGGATTATATAAGGTTAAAACCAGTGAAATATTATGGCAAATTTTAATATCTTGTATTTAATATTTTAAATAGATTAGAAAGCCACTCTGTCCTCCAAAATTGTAAAGATGTAATTAATATATACATAAGAAATTGAAGTTTGTTGACTAGGAAAGTTGGTGTATTGTTGAATATTTGATTTGTTTATATTCCAGGTTGATGGTGAATATAAAAAACCTAACAGTCAGAAACGTGTTTATGGTGGTAAATTACCTCACATGTGGTCCCAGTCTATGTATATACTTGGTAGAATGATGTATGAGGTTAGTATATATTGTATATACCCACCACTCTCTATGTGAACTAGTTGTATTTTGTGTTTGATTTAAATTTGCTTGGGAACACTGTGGAATCATTTGTCCGGTACTGACTAAGCGATATATAATCATATTTGGATGAATATATATAGTTTAATTAAGTATTTTGCAGTAATTATAAAAAGGTTATGGCTCTTGTCCAAGAATATTGAAACTTTTGGAACCGCTTTGATTTCAAGATTGGAATAAGAATTGGCATTAATGAACTTAATCATTAAGCTTGTTTCAAAAACTGCATTCTGATCTGGTCAGGGACTAGCTAGTTCTAAGATTGTCATTCTATGGTAATATGTGCCTCTCTATAACTATTAACTAATAATATTTCAGGGTTTTCTATCACCTGGTGAACTAGATCCTCTCAATAGAAGATTAGTAGCTGAACCTAAACCAGATATAGTAGTTCAAGGTTTGTACTCAATTATTGCCTTTCAACTTTCATTTCTGATGCATTCAACATCTTATCCTCAATGTCAAGACTGATTTTTGCACCCAGATAGAACAGTGTTGTCTTCCTGTTCCCAACTTTTAATCAATATGTATGTAATGAATAACATTTTCTCAGAAAGTATAAATGATTATGATTATATATTTTAGTGGTGATATTAGCAGAAGATACATTGATAAGAGATAAGTTATTATCACAAGGTATTGAGGTTCAGACTATAGGTGATGTACAACCAATACAGGTTTATCCTGCCCGAATATTGAGTCAAATCTACTCCTTATTAGGTACGTTTTTAAACTGGCTATTAGTAAATTGCCATGGAGTTTTACATCTTTATTTCCACTCCATGTCTTAAAAGCAAACTAGACACAAAGATTTGGATATGAAAGGTGTTAAAAGCTTTTATTGAGTAGAACATATTTTGATTACTTGTATTTTTATTGTTCCGGAGAAAACACATATCAGAATATCAGTGTTATTTTAGTTTAATTGAATCTTGATAATTTTTTTTTCTTCAGGTAAAAATAAGAGACTAGGACTAACAGGAAGACCATCTAGTGAAATTGGCCTCCTAGCAACCAGTAAACTTTATGTCCTTAATGATCAAATATTAGCCTTCATACCACAGGTAATATTATCTATGTTGTCTTGACTGAATATTGGAGTTGATTTCAGAAATATCTTATTTTTACAAATAACCATTATCATAATGTACATTTGTCGAAAGCCTGGTTCAAAACTTGCTGTATGTGCCAGTAGAGGTAGATTTCAAGGTTAAGTGGAAGTTCAATACTTCCAGGAGCTCTTTTAACACATATTGAGGCAGAATGTCCGATTTACACTTTTACCACAAATTGCAACATGTTTAAAGTTAAAAGTATATAATTTATGAAAATTGATCTTAGAAATATATATTGCTGTAATATATCAGGTTATTTTTTTTAAGATTTTATCAGCAGTGTTATAAACATACAGAAATGCATGAATTCCTCTATATTTTGATCTGCCATGTTTAACAGCTATATTAAATTGGTAGCTTTATAACATCGTAACAATCATAATAGCATATTTTTTTTACATACTTCATGTTTCTCATTCATCCAATTTAAGATTGAGTACTATTAATTAATGACAAACATAATCGATATAAAATTTGTACACAATCACTGTAGGCAGTTGGCACAAAAATGTTTTCGTTGGACAGCTGTAAAGAACTATATGAAATTCGAGATCTATTTTTGTTTTTATTTTATTCTGCACAGTTTATTTCTCAATCTAGTCAAATTAAGTACAGACTTGGATGTTTTTTTTTTGTTTTTGTCTTCCATGATCTGACAAAATTCTTCCTTGTGTTGAGTTCTGTGAATAAAACCCAATAGCATCAAGAGCAATTGAAAGTGTCAATCTTTAACAATGTTTATCACAGAATTCCTGACTTGTAGTAAAAAAAATCTTTTGGTGAATTGGTGAACCAAGCATTTGGAGATTACAGAACCCAGAACAGTTTGTCAAATTGCAGAAAAACACTAAACGAAACATTCAGATGTTCAGTTTAATCTGATCGTTCTCAATCAAACTTAATGAAAATCTCAATTTTATATTTTTAATCTAAATTTCTCCTTTTGTCCACAGTTTGTAGATGAGAGTCAGTTCTATCTTCCCTGGGACATGGATTTTCTTGTTGATCATTCCAGTAATGATATGGAATATTTGTGTCATAATTGGCAAATGTTGGGGCGTCCAACGTTTATATTTCCCCTGCGAAATACTATGTTAGGTGTGCTATATATGATATCTTTTATATCTTGCTTGTTATATGTTTTCCTGGCGCTAGAATGCAGCTAGAATAATGTGTGCTGAGTTTAAATGTAGTTCTTCTAGTTTTACCATGTTTTGTCATTTTATTAACACATATGATTTCAATTAATGTTGGTAAGTCAAAATTGTATACCCTGTAAATGGAAAGATTGTAGGGCCTACTATAACAATTGAAGTGAAAACACAAAAGTATCTTAATTGGGATTTATTCCCCATATCAGACGTAGCAGGAGAAATATCTGACATCATTTCCAAAAATTACATCAAATCAGTTTTATGACTTTGGCTCTTCGGACTATAACACAACACCCAAGTTAAAAGGGTACTCACACTGTCTGTGATGTCTAAGGGATTTATGGATAGACAAAACTAATAATCTAATAATGCAGTAGATGACTGAAGATTAACTACAGATAATAACTACCAATTAAGGTTTTCATTTTGAAATTATGATTTCACTGATTAAGTCAGACTGTTTTTAAGTAAAATGACAATTCATAGCTATATCTATATCCCTGCATGTAAGCTCACTGGTGTCTGCATGAAAATAAATAATATAGCTAGTTATGTCTTTTATACATTGGTGTGCTTTAAGCATTTCATTTCAAGATTTTTTATGATATTTGCATGACCTTTTATATTCTAAAACTGTTATAGTGAGCGTCTGTCACAGCTGCATTTTAGATAGAAAATTTTCCTTTTAAATAGAAGAGTTTTAGGTCAAATTACCCTGATTCTGTGCCTTTTTAGTGGCGAAAAGTTCTTATCATCTTATAGATACTAACAGCAATATCATCACTTACAAATAACAGAGTGTGTCTAATGATTTATTAGTTATTACCATCTTAAGCATGTAATAACCTACAGTTTGATATTGTACTGTACTTGTTTTTAATACTTTAACCTATGATGGAGCTTAATCTTAACTAAACACTGATTGGTTTAATGAGTAGATATTGCTCAAATTTACTGAATTTAACATTTAGAAAGGTAGACTAAACTACTGTGTACTTTGAGTCAAAACTCCGATTCAAAAATCAAAATCACTTGACATCTTATTCCTATTGGTCTCCAGTATGACATCTCAGTTCTTCATATTTACTCTGATATTGTCATGTTTGATTGGAAAACTGACTGGAATCATATGGATTGATGATTAGATCATCACAAATATGGTCCAGTTCTCTCTGACCCTCTCCCTAGTGACTAGCCATCAAAATCATCTGTCAGAGCTTCTCGGAAACACAGGCACATGCATTTGAGTTTCTGGATATGATTTTATGCAAATGAAATTTCAAAATGGTTATTTCATATACATGTGCTCTGAATAACTTTCGCACTTTGCTAAGCCTGTGAAAAATGGTAATTCTTCCTTCTTTATTTTATGTAGAATTCCATTCATTTCTTTTTATTCCTTCTTTATTTTATTTATTTTAATCTGAATTATATTTTCTTTCTATTTAAGATCCTGATTAATTTCCTTTTATGTTGATCATTTTACTAACACATGCTATATCTTATAGGATAAATAATGTTTAATATATTATTATAAAGTAGGGCATTGTTACTGTTGGTAATAATGACAAAAATAATGCTTCATTTCACACAATTTCACACAATTTCAGTAATTTAACAAAATTCTTGTCATGTAACTGCTTAACTAACTTTTTCCTTCATTTTGACAAAAAATGGTAATCTGACACGAACATATTGATGTTATTTTACTTTGAATCCATGTTGTGCTAGAATCTATTTATATATTACATAGAGATGTAAGATATAGGCTTATTGCCATTGTTGTGTACATCAATATATCTCTACATAGTTGTTGTTAAGCATATTAGACTACATTTGCAATGTAGACTGAAAGAGAGGGCATATTTTTTCAAAGACAAGTTATTACCTCAGCTTTTATGAAATTATTACATTATCTCTGAATAATCTTTAAATCTAAGAAATTTGCTAGAAAATTGAAACATTTTGAATGCAGGACCGTGGGTATATGATGTACATGTACATACAACACAACAATACCTAATATCTCTTCTTCTTACAGACTTGGGAGCCGCGGTGGCTCAGTGAGTTAGACGCTTGCTCGCTGACCTGAGGGTCCAGGGTTCAATCCCGGCATAGGTCGAGATAATACCTTCAGATTTTTTAAACCCGGTTTCCCCCTGTCAGTGATGCAGGTAAGAGGGGCTGACATGGAAAAAGCGTCTAGTCGTTCGGATGGGACAATAAACCGAGGCCCCGTGTGCTACAGGCTGTGCACGTTAAAGATCCCTCGACAGTTGGAAATCGAAAAAGAGCAGGCTAATCCCGCTGTCCTGGCAAAGTTTCCCTCATGGCACCCTGCATGGCGTTGCCCGTCTTCATTAGCCCACAAGGTGCAGAAGAGTAGGACGTAAAACTCCATTCAGTTCATTTCATTTCTTCTTACAGACTTTATATTTCTAATGATAATCTGTGGTTATCTCCCTTGATTCTAAACTTACAGTCAAGTGATTAAGCTCTTTTAGATATCTGATGTTTCTGACTCTTATGTTTCACTTGTTTCAGTAAACAAGGATAAAACAGATTGTGAACTGAATTGTTATATAGGTATAAACTGAACTTTCATGTGTTATCAAAATAACAACCAATTATATTTCATTGTAGATATTAGATGTGTATGAATTTGACACCTGATTAGATCTTGAAACCTACATCTTGAGATAGTCAAAACAATTCAGAGTATCTAAAAAAAATAATGATATTTTAGACATTTATTATTTGTTTTCTTTCACTTGTCAAGGGAAAGTAACTTAGCTCTGTGAAATCTAATACTAAAAGGAAGGCAAAACTCTTCTTCATGATGATAAACTTCTAAAAATCAAACATGATTATATTGGTTTATAATAACCAAAATAAGAATGCATTTAAGATTGGGTTTTGGGAAGCTGCTATTCTTGGATGAAAGTATTTTCTTGTTAAGTAAAAAAAGAGCTTCCATGATGATGGTGGATTTATTTACTTTACAGATAAAAGAAGGAATGAGAGTTTTACATTCTTTTTTACCCATCTTCTGTTTCATTATTTTTCTATGTTTAACAAAAGGCATTTATTTATTTGCCAACAGTTTATGGATCAACAACGATTCTACGTAGCTCTTGATACCAACTTTATGTTGGATTTTCTTCGTACTGAAGTTTCCTATTTAAAAAGCAGCTGGAAGGGTCTGGGTCGCCCAACGCTCACTGTGACGGTAACTCATGCACTAATGGGTAGGTTTACTAACACCAGTTTTACTAATTACCAAGTTTACACCATCCACTTTCTTTCTCTATCCTCTTTTATTAACACAGAGTTATTAATTAGTTCCTGGTAGAAAAATTTTCAAACTTGATCTTGGATTTTATCGTCCATTTTCATACATAGTAATTTTTAAATAGCAAACTTATAATATTCATCTTCTTTTGTATGTTGGATATTTTTCTCTTTGGATCTAAAAGTTATAATAGATATTGATAGATTACAGTTTTCACTGTCCATGTTGGCTTATTACATCTGACTGCTTTATTCAAATTTAGTTCTAGTTTTACTTCTTTCTGTTTTATGTTTCACATTAAAGCTTTTTAAATATATTATATTGAAAATGTGCTTTCTTGGCTTTTAATGTGCTTCAAATTGTCTCTGATTTTTAAAATTGTTGATGACTTAAATAAATTTTACATTATTTTTAAATATCATATTTTGATTTTCAAGTTTTAAAATTTCTTTTAGATATTTGATCATTATTCATGATAAAATGTAAACATGATGTATTGTATTGTAATGTACTGTATTATTCAATAATGTGATACTATAATTAGTTTATTTCTGTTTTAATTAGATAATCATAACAACCCCCCAACAACATTGATAGCTACTATTAAAAAATTACAGAGTGGTTATATAGCTGGTACCAGGTATGCTAGTTCTCACAGTGCTTTGATTCTTGTGGGAAATTCTTTTGCCTATTGTGTTGCTGAAGATTTATTGATAAAATGATTGTCATAATTGAAAAATTGTTAATCATAAATTAAGACTGAAATTTAAGAGTGAATTGCTTGTAGCAGAAAGATTAGCTTAAAGGGTGACTGAATGAAGAAGAGGCTTTTATCAAAAATGAAATTCAATATGCATTAGAATTAATTAAACATTTAGGAAAGATTATGTACTATATTGTCCACATGTATAAATCTGCTTTAAGACATTGTATAATATAACAGAACGAATGTAATTAGTCACGTAGACTCTTCATAGGAGATATTTATTCAACAAGGATTGCAGAATGGCATCAAGTTGTCATGAGGGTTAACATGCCACAGTGTACTGAATTAACTGGTGATGGTGATGATAGATGAAAAATTAATGTCTTATTCTAGTTGCAATTTACTGGTTTTGTGCCCTGATATTTGGTCCAATGATTCTAGTTTCTTAGTTTAGCTTGAAACATAACATATTCTGATATTTGTGTTTATTTTTCTAGAGTACATCTGGGAAGTTTAGAGAATTTTCTCACTACATCTTGTGTTACCAAGTTAAGTTTTGTTAGAGATCTAGATGATCCTTATCAAGGTGAGACGAATATTTACATTTCTAACATCACATGCTTATTTTAATTATTTTTTGTATACCTTAGCTTGTCATGTGATTGATAATATGTGTAAAGGACATATTGAGACTGAAATTTCATTTTGGATTATTGCTTCTTTGGTAACTTAAAAAACTATAAAAACATTTATTTTGAATGTATGTATATGGAGAATTGATGGATTGTATTTGAAGTAATTGGATGTCCATACATGTATCTTTAAAGTTCATGGGTCATGAATCATGGATCAGCCCTTAAAAGAATAAAATCATCTCTTTGAGATCTTTTATCTTCGAATTTTCAACCCTGTTCCTCCTGTCATTGATGCAGGTAAGAGGGCTGACATGGAAAAGGCCTCAAGTCTTTTGGATAGGACAAAACACGAAGACACTGTGTGCTACAGGCTGTGCATGTTAAAGATCTCTTGACAGTTGCACCCTGCATTCCTGTTTTCTTTAGCCCACATGCAGAAAAGTAGGATGTAAAAATTCATTCAGCTCAGTTCAGTTCTTTTAGATCGTTCATGTATTTTATTTCTAGGTGATGAACAAGTGGTGAGATTTATGGATAAATTGATGAGTCCAACCTGTCCTAGGCCAAGATTATTATCTAAAGCTAAGAAAGGTGTCAGTGGACGGTTACAGAGGAAGAATTCAGTCCATGGTATTGTAAAAAGATCCAGGTCTATTCAAGTAGATCCAGAGCAGGCTGCAGGTAGGTCAATATGTGACTTTGTAATAACATACCAGTAGAAAATTTAGAAAAAGATTTGTAAATGTTGTAAATAAATCATAATAGAGTGTAAATGTTGTCGTAACAACTTAGTCAAATTCTACTTTAATTTATGCGCATATGATATTTCTCATTTAAAATTGATTACAAAAATCTTGCTAAGTTGTGTCAATATATCATATATGCAAACTTAGTGTATTTATTGTTTTGTTTAACCCTGTTGCATTTGTTAACTTCTTGAAGCATGCGATTTTGTTCTTTTGACAACTATTATTTACTAATGAATTGTACTTCAGTCCTGGCTTTAACTAGCACTGAAATGATAATCCACTTTTTTAATGCGAAAATTGACAGAGCATCTGTCAGTAAGGAAAGTAAGCCTTAAGACTGGATACATAATATAATACTTTCTGATGAATATTGATACAGTATGCAGCATATTTTGTTTATGTGTGATTCTAATAAAAAGTCAAAGTTTTAATGTGATACAGCCAGATATATTGTTATTTGTTATCCACTTATTAAAGAGTAATAAAACAGCAATATAGTTCTTTGACCAGTAAAGTTACTGTCTATTATATTACTTACTAATATGGACAGGAATCATATATCTAATATATTCAATATATCCAATATACATGTAGTTAAGGTGGCTTTTAGAAAATATGAAATATAGAGAAATTATTTATATTAAGACCTCCAAGCTTATCTAGTGAAGAAAAGGTTATCGTCGACATCATCAGGTAGGCTTAATGTCGTCAGTCAGTCGATATATTATAGACAATTTATTCAATAACCCTTTCTACACTAGCGTCATTTCTACCAGCTTCAAATTTTACGTGATATATTAAACCCTGGTCTCTGTGATGTGGCTGTTACCATGTGACATCACATAACTATAACATCATATTGTCTGGATTATATAACGTGGAATTCAGGGTTGACGTTTTATTTTATTTACATTTAAAGTGTATAAGGGGTTAACTTGTGTAAGATTTGTAGTGATTTTGGCTTCAAAATGCGAGCAGATTCATCTGGATAAACTAATATTGCTTTATACTGAGAATATTATAAAGGCTTGCAGTAATTATTAGACCTTCTATCAGGTTATCAGAGTCATTCCAGTGCCTTCTGAATTTTCAGTCTGTGATTTCCATGGTTCCCAAAATTATGACTTCACTATCGAAATTCATTAGGCTTGAAAAAAGCTGTACACAAGGGAGTGTTTATCCTAATGAATTTGCTGCTAAAATGAATGCAGACTTTTTTTTCACCAGGGGCTTGGTAGATATTACACTGCTATCAAGAGGAGAATATTTTGGCAATACTTATCTTTTTTATTTGATTTTATCTGGCTTTGAATTTCTACTAACATATCTTATGTGATGCACTGAGAATTAATAATTTTCTTTTCAGAATTTTGCTTTGATATGAATTTTTTTAACTCAACATAACTGTACCAATATATTAAGAATTGTAATAAATCATCAGTTTGTAAACTACATTACCCAGAGCAATATAACAAAAGTATCGATTATTATCTAATTTTCCATTTTCTGTCTAAAATCATGTAGATTGTTTTTTCACTATGAGAGTTAAACCTGTCCCTTTATTTTAATAAAGAAAAAAAAAATTTAAATTATTCAAATATCCAACAATGTCCGAATTGATAGTAAGTCTTTAAAGAATCCAGATATAAGAAGAAAAGAGTTTAGTTTTTAAAGGTCCAAGTTGAGAAAATGTAGGCTTTTTTTTTCATTTTTGTCAGAAATTTATTTTTTTTGTCTTTGCATTTGATAATTTGACTAGAGTTTAAAGTTTCTTTCCACCAGAATACAGTGTGATTACCAATTTTTGTATTGAAATTTACAGGTTATTGTCCTTTTTAAGTAAAATTTAAAAAAAATTGTTGCCTCAAATGGGTGAAGACACACATAACTTTGCTTTTTCCCGAATGAATATTTTCATTAAAACTATTCAATATAAAGTACAATTTTTATAGATTTCCAATTATAAAGCTTAGTGAATGAAGATTTTAACATGAATTAATATGACTAACAAGTAGAAATAAAAACATAGATATGAGAGTTTATCATAGGGCTAAATAATGATCTTGAATGTTTTGATCTGCTTCTTAAATGATTGTAAAGAGTTTTTCTAAATTTTTTATGTGTACTGGGGACACTAATATTCCACTAAATGTAAGTGTTTGATGACATTCATCGAAAAGGGCAATATATGATTTTGCTATTATTGATATCATCAAACACTTAGTTTTAATGGAATTGAAGGAACAACAGAAGTCTGATTGAAAATTGGAATGGTGCATGGTGCATATTGATGCTATCAGTGTTCCCGATACACATATAAAATTTCAAAAACTTCTTCACAATCCTCTTGAAAATATTGTCTGTTTGAGATAATCTTCTTGGTTGGCTTGAACATATTTCTAGGTTATGGCTTGTCTGACGTATTTTAATTTAAACCTGGGATTAAATCTGAGTTGAATTTTGCAAAAAAAGCATGTTTCTATAGTTCATATACTTGTATGTAATGTATGCATGGCAAAACTAATCTTATATATTACTACAAATAAACAAATACAAACAAATTTACTATGTACTAATTTTTTTGGAATGAAAAAATCTGATAAATAATATTCTTAATACTATATATGGGGTTATTTGTAAAAATAACTTTAACTCTGAATAGTAACCATTGTAATAAAGTCTGGTATTGTTTGGAACCACTGTGTAACCATGTAATCTATTTATAATAAAGATATTAACTATTTAGCAGATGGAAATGGTAATGAAGCACCAATGTCTCCTGGAATAGAACCATACGGTAGGATATATCATCATCATTATTCATTGGACAATCTTATTCATATACAGTTCTACAGTTTCTTTATTTTCTGAAGGTTACTTCGCTCACATTATAATGATCTGAATACATTAAGAAGAAAAATGTGTTCACCTCATCAGCAAAATTAAGCCCTTGGAAATTTTCACAATTACATTTGAAGGTATTTCCCATCCAAATTTGTCATGTTCTGATAAAGCACTTTCAACAGAGGCTTAACCTTAGAAAAGTATTGCCAGATCAAAAATGAAGTGAAGTAACCCAATGAAAATAAAACAGAATAAACAGAATGGGGTTAGGGTCCACTTGTTTCTGCACCTATATTTATATTAAATGGAAGCAAGGTACATCTTAAAAAGGTCCATGATTAATTGAGCTATCAAAACAATTCATTAAATCAGATAATTAAGCGTCGTTATTTAAAAATAGAAACTGAAATGTATAATGAGTTTGAGTTATTTTGGGACATTACACATACCTAACATATACAATACATTTCATTTTAACAGAGCGTAAAAGAAAAACAGGACAAAGTGGTAATGAAAATGATATTCTCTGGATTTTATTTCTTTCCTAATATAATTAAACTAAAAAGCGTGGTTATAATGTTTTTAGTGTTGAGTTTTACTAATGAATTCTCTTTATCAGTTAAAGGGTTTGGGTGAAATACGTCTGAATAATTAATAATCTGACTCTTAAATTGTCTTTTAATATTTCTATTCCATTTGGTGTTTTTGATCTTTTACAAACATTCTTTTAATTTCCTATTCTATGTTCCTAAGTTTCATTCAATTCAATTCTTTCGCATGTCAAATATAAAGTTGATGTTTAGATCAATTAAGCTCTTAGTTCATATTGATATATATAAATTGATATTAGATTTTAGATGAACTCAGCTTATATTTATAGTTATATGTTTAGATGATATAAATATATATGCTATATTACAGCTTTATAGCTAGCATAGTGCATAGTTTTAATTATCACAGGGTTTCTTTATTCCATAGTAAGCTTGATATACCAATAGGCTATGAACATATTCAAACAAAAGATTTTTAAGAGATAAATTATCATGAATTGAAAAGCCTGCTAAGAAAATAATTTACTTTTTGTACTGACAGAGTTTATCTGTTAGAATTTTCAGATAGCAATGGAAAGCCAGGAAAGATTAACTACTTTGTAGCATCGGTATTTCACAACAGGAAGTGTTGCTATTTTAACAGGACTGGCTCAGTCTGTTGGTATAAAAAAAACAGTATACTCTGCAGCCTAGGAGTCTTGAAAACTTAGAATGTTTATATTTTATTTATAATAGTTATCAAGGTTACCAATTTAATGAAAATGTAACTGAAAATGATCCAATTGGCTTATTTTAAATTGATTATAAATTCTGTTTTATCAAATTACTGTATGTGCTGAAAGCTGCAGTCAAATTGCAGATATTAACAAGTTTATGGTTGTTTTACACAATTGAATACTATCATTTTTGGTTTGATATTTTTCTGTATTTTCTTTATTTAGAAGTGCATCATTTATTGAATTTGAAAACATCTACACCAGTATTTTCTCCAGAAGGGACACCATCTCATAGTCCTGGAGTTTCACCTCAACCCCGTCGTAAACATTATACCAGCTTAACAGAGACTCAAAATAACAACGAAAACATCAATGTTCAAGAATTGGTAGAAAGTTTACAAAATACTGAAAATTTAAATGAACAAGCTGATATTATACATTATCTCTACATGGCAAAGTAAGTATAATATTCACCATTATCTTTATGACAAAGTAAGCATGATATTCACCATTATCTTTATGACAAAGTAAGTATAATATTCACCATTATCTTTATGACAAAGTAAGCATGATATTCACCATTATCTTTATGACAAAGTAAGCATGATATTCACCATTATCTTTATGACAAAGTAAGTATAATATTCACCATTATCTTTATGACAAAGTAAGCATGATATTCACCATTATCTTTATGTGACAAAGTAAGTTAAATCTCTCAATGACAAATAAGTTTGATATTCCCAATTATCTATCCATGACAAATAAGTTTGATATTTACTATTATTTATATACATGACAAAGTAAGTATAATATTCACCATTATCTCTATGACAAAGTAAGCATGATATTCACCATTATCTTTATGACAAAGTAAGTATAATATTCACCATTATCTTTATGACAAAGTAAGCATGATATTCACCATTATCTTTATGACAAAGTAAGCATGATATTCACCATTATCTTTATGTGACAAAGTAAGTTAAATCTCTCAATGACAAGTAAGTTTGATATTTATTATTATTTATATACATGACAAAGTTAGTTTAATATTCACTATTATCTCTACATAACAAAACAATTATCTATCCATGATAAAGTAATATTCACTATTATCTCTACATAACAAGGAAAGTTTAATATTCACAATTATCTCCACATGACAAAGTAAGTTTAATATTCACAATTATCTCTACATGACAAAGTAAGTTTAATATTCACAATTATCTCTACATGACAAAGTAAGTGTAATATTTACTATTATATCTACAAGGCAAAGTAAGTTTGATATTCACCATTATCTCTACATTACAAAGTAAGTTTAAAATTCACCATTATCTCTACATGACAAAGTATGCTAGATATTTTACATTATCTCTTCCTGTGAAAATAATTGTTTAATTCACCATTATCTCTACAAAACAAAACAATTATCTATCCAAGTTATATTCACAATTATCTATACATGACAAAGTAAGTGTAATATTCACTATTATATCTAGATGGGAAAGTAAGCAAAATATCCACCATTATCTCTATATTACAAAGTGAGTATAATATCCATTATCTCTATACAATATTCACCATTAATTCTTTGTGGCAAATTAAGTTTAATAGTCACTATTTTTTGTATGTCGCAACATAAGTTTTATATTCACCATTATCTCTACATGGCAATTAAGTATTTGTGAAATATTTACCCATATCAGTTTCAACTTTAGGTATTTTTTATAATCTCTGACTGATATTCAATATGATGTTTTATTTTAGAGGTATAGATTGGGATACACAGATTGGAAATAGAGTTTGTACAGTGAAAGAACTCCTAATTGAATTATATGAAAAGGTAGAGTAGGTCATGATATGTTGTGTGTTGTTTAATTCCAACATGTCATGGACACAGATGTCCAGTTGTATAAAGTAAAATCTGCAAATTGGTACTTTAATATTGATCTCATTAGCTCAAAAAAGTGCAGTACACAAAATATAGACTTATTTCATGCTTGAAAATTATAATGTTATATATACAGTATAAGTGTAAATATAATGCACACCATTCTTGCCTTTAAATTAGTACTTTAATTCTTTTAAATATAGCTATATTTTTTGCATGTCAATTTTTGTTGGCCCAGGAATGTGCAATATACTGGTAATATATGCTATATGCTAATTCATTCATTAAAGTTCTTCTTGTGAAACATATTCTGTATATCATCTATTTATTAGGCTGGACATTGGAAACAATGGTGGTTAGTAAGACACACAGCTGGTATGTTAAAAAAGAGAGTTGAAGATTTAGCTCTGGTAGGTGTTTTTTAGGTTTTAAAAAGTTGCTTCGGATTCTGAATTTTATTGCAATGTATCATGATTAACAGAATCTTTTAGAGTATTACCTTAATTTCTAATAATAAGAGAATTTTATGCTTTGTAAGAGGCACTGTCAGTTGATTTAAGGGATATATTACAATAATATTATTTTGTGAATCTTTTAATATCAAGTTATTAAGGCGAAACAAGCATGGAGTATGAAGATGAAATGTTTTTTTCTGAAAATCATCAAGCTTACACTGTATTTAGTTGGTATAATTATTTATTATAGGCCGCTACAGATTTATTAGTTCGTCAAAAACAACTGTCAGTTGGTCTTCCTCCAGATAGAGAACGAATTATAACAAGGTAAACTTATTTGGATTTTTAAAGAAATAGTTGTATAATTACTCAAATGGCAGTTATACAACTTAGTTTAGAATCAATCTAATTAAATAATTAGACCCTCGCAGTTTTCTACTGCACTGTCATTATTTTTAACCAATCAAAGCATACCAATGTAGGACCTTTTGTTGATAATAATGACTAACTGTGGGAAACCCAAAGTACAGCAATGTAAAACATTTCTAGTTTCAATATTCCACAATATATCATTGTTGAAAACTGGTGAATGACTATGGTATCTTCACTGGGCTTTTTAAAACGTATAAGTGGAAAACCTTTCTATTTTTGTGTTGTTCGAAACATTTTTTCAATGATATGTATATTCTATGGATTCACCAGAAAGAATTTATACATGAATAATGTGTATTTCAGACCACTACCACCTGATGAATTAGCTTCCATTATTTATGATGCTTGTGGTGAAGATACCAGTACAGCTTCCTTGACACAGGTAATATACAATTAATCAACTTTCAATTAGTGTCCAAATAAGAACATCCACTAAGAGTAAAAGTATTACAGAGCCATGTCTTGAATGGACATAGTAATCTAATTAGAAATTATTTTGGAATATTCCTTTATATTTTACAATCAAGTTTTGACTTGTTCTCTTTTAATCTTAAATGTGCAAACAAATTATAAGTTCTATGAGGCTTCACATATGAGAACATGAAATGGGGACATATATTGGGGTCTACCATGTCTGTCTGTCCATCCACAATTGCTCGTAAACACTGTAGAAGACACAGTTCATTACGCATTTTGATGAAACTTGGTATGAGTGATTGTAACCACCCAAAATTAGGAAAACTTAAAAGTATTAAGTATGAGTTATTGCCCTTTTTCTTGAAAATTCGATCAATTTTAGCTTGTAAACATTCCAAAAGGCACAAGTCTTGATGGATAGTGGTGAAAATTGGTGTGAGTGCAGGGATGAACCTTATTGAAAATCAAAATATCTTGTATAAGTTATTGCCTTCTTTGTTCATTAAAACATGTTCAATTTTTAGCATGTAAACACTCAAGAAGGCACAATTCTTGACGGACCAAACTTGGTGAAATTGTTTATTATCATTCATAGATGAAACCTATTGAAAATTTTTATCTTTTGCTCTGTTACCAAGTATATTTCAGAAAATGAATTATTTATTTTAGGAACTGTTGATTTATTTAGCTATGTATATTAGAACAGAACCTAAATTATTTAATGAAATGTTGAGATTAAGAGTTGGTTTAATAATACAAGTCATGGCTTCAGAATTATCTCGTACTCTTAAATGTTCAGGTTAGTCAATTTTTATAGTTTTCAGAGCTAGAAAATCGAAATTTTGGATGGGCTTAGAAAAGTTTTCGTTACTGCTCCTCAAAAACATGTTATTTACTATGACTAGGCTAGATAGCAGAGTATTAAATCAACAATATTTATTTCATTGAATTTTGATTGGATTATGGAAAAATTATTGAATTTTAAGAAGAGTTTAACATGTACCATATAGTTGTGAATATAATGCGAACCCCTTCTTACCATTGAGTATATTTATTAGCCTTATATATGTGCTACTTATAAATTTTAAACAAATCTTCTGGTTGTGAATTGACTATTGATTTGACATGTCCGAAAGGTGGTGAACAGAAATACATTATCGTTTATTTTTCTGTAGGTGACGATGCCTCAGATCATTTGTTAAATCTTAGTCCATTTGAGATGAAGACATTATTACATCATATATTGAGTGGTAAAGAATTCATCATTAACAGTGGTAAGATTTTTACGTATGAAATGTTGATTTGTGCCAACTAATGTCAGCTTTATGGAAAGTCAATAAATTATTATTCCAGTTTGATGAAAAAAATTACCCCTTCGCTCAACTTATGTCATTGAAATTAAACCTGGTGCCAACAGATATCTTGCTTATAGGTTTGCCTAAGACCAACTGAAATATCTAAGACATTAGCTTGCAAATAGTTGGTGACCCATCAAGTAGAACATAAGTCATCTGGATTGACCATTACACACTGAAATTACTAGTCATGAAGGATCAAAACAAGATATTGTATTTTAAATGGGCATGCTTAAAACTAACTGCATGAATTTGACCGTGTTATACTAGTAGAGGTACAGCTCTATTAACTATATTAGTTTAATTGTATTATGTAATGTAATGAATAGCTTATTTTGTGTACCCAGTTATAAACCCAATGATTTGTTTTTTTGTTTTTTTTTTTCATCAAATATTTTCTTTTTTTCATTCCTATGTCTTTATACTGTCCATCCAGGGCACTGTGTCCAACCACTGACCCAAAACATATTGGCTGCATCTCTCAGATTCCATCTCTTATCTATCAAAATATAAACTGAAAGAATTCAGATAAAATCACAAATGTTTGTATTCATGATGGAAATAAGTACTTCAGATATTTTTATAATTTCTGAATGATTTATTGTAACCGCAGCGTTAAATTTTGTACACTAACAGTAACCTCACATACTCACTATATATTCACTAGAATACTAATAATCATAGACACTGTCATGGAGACACAATATGGCTGGTCCCACACTTTTTGTGCCTAAAATGATTATCAAATGAATGGTAAAATAGTTAATATCTAATTCATCAAATTTATTTTATCAATGGATCTGTACCCATGGACACTGTCTATTCAATATTATTATTCATATTTAATGTATGATTGAATACAAAAAGCAAGTCATACATGTTAAATATATTATGTTGACTTTAATATTATTCTATTTAGCTGACTACTCTGATTCAGGTAAAAAGTGAATACAATTTTAGTTTTTAAGCTTTTAATAATCACTTTATTTAGTGATTTCTATCAATATAATATAATATATCACTTTATTTAGTGATTTCTATCAATATATTATAATATATCACTTTAATTCTCACTTTTCTTATTATAAACTATTCTTTATATTCTTCTTTATAAATAGTTATAATTTTCATGTCTTGATATTTCTATGGATTTACTCAAACTTTACTTAAAGTTGTATAAGATAGTTCAGTTAAAACGGTTAAGTTAAAATGACTGTTCTATCATTAATGTCTGATTGATAGATTTCAAACAACTCTAGTAAAAAGGAAATAATTAACAATAGTTTCAATAAAAATAAGATTAAAGATTAGTTCAGTCAGAGAAATAAAGTGATTATGATTTATTTTAACTATGAAAATGTTGAAATTGTCCCTACAGATCTTTAAGCGTTTATCATTATATTATGTTTTTCCATGAGTTTCTTCACTAAGTCACATGTTTCCACTCAATATATAAATATTTGATATTTTACGGTGACTAACAGAGTTTAAAGATGAAGTTATAAAACTGACTATAATATCAAAGATATCGCAAGAAGAATTACAGCTACCATTTACAAAGAAGGTCATTATTTTAAACATTATGTATTCATTTATTGCTAGGAATTAGAACCATTAAAAATATGGTACTATTTAACTGTGAAATTTGTGACATGATTGTCAGTTTTATCAGCAAGCTGCAGTAATGATCAAGATACACCTCAAATAATCAGCAGTTCAGCAAGTAAAAGTAAAAGTTAATAGCCACTTTGTAATATCAGGTTTAAAAGTATGTGCTTTATCAGCAAGCAAAGACAACAGTTAACTTCCCAAGGTTTTGTCAAATTGTTTGTTACATTTGTAAACTCAAGGCTGTTGATATTTTTGTATTTGTGGAGTAGAATGCCAAAATTAACCATTCCTTAATCTCAGACTTTTGTTGTAAATAAACTAAAAATCAATAAAAAAAATTCCCAAATGTCTATCTCTATCTACATTTGTTTTGTACTTATTTTGATAAATCCTATCCCTGCACTATTTGTCTCCACTGCTTAGTCTGCATGGTTTGTTTTTTTATACTCAAAATGTATTTAGTGTGTTACTAATGTTTTATTTATTGGTATTTATCTGATACTAATAGCTTTATGTATCTGCATGAAATATATGGTCATTATATGATGTTTTATTTCTACACAATCATAACAATTTTTAACTGAAAAATTGAATTGAAATCAATTGAATTGTCATTGATAAAAATGTATTTGATACCTTCAGTGGTATGAACACATGTTCCTGGACTGACTTACTGTGTTTATCAATATTGCTATTAAAACTATGAAATTATTTTGGCTATAAAATGAAGTTGGTGATAATCTGTTGTGTTGTAGTAATCTAGTAACTTTTAACAGAAGCTAGTTCAGTTGGTCACAGATACTTATATACTGATGGATTGTTTCATTTGAACAAGCGAAGTCGTTCTTATTCAGGACAGAGTAAATGATGATATAATAAAGCAAAATTTATATCAGAAAT